CCTTCCCCAACTTCCTTCGAGCACTCGTTCGAGAACCGACAGCTTAAGCTTCTTCACCCGACCGGGGACCTACTGGACGCGGACCTGTCGGGGGGGAACAGCACCGTCAAGTGGACGACAGCACGCCGCACCTGGGCCGGCCCCGGGCCCGGGCGGCCGAGCTCCAAGGAGGGCCGGCGCAAGCGACACGTGCGAGTACTGCGGCAAGGTGTTCAAGAACTGCAGCAACCTGACGGTGCACCGGCGGAGCCACACCGGCGAGCGGCCTTACAAGTGCGAGCTGTGCAACTACGCGTGCGCGCAGAGCAGCAAGCTCACGCGCCACATGAAGACGCACGGGCAGATCGGCAAGGAGGTGTACCGCTGCGACATCTGCCAGATGCCCTTCAGCGTCTACAGCACCCTGGAGAAACACATGAAAAAGTGGCACGGCGAGCACTTGCTGACTAACGACGTCAAAATCGAGCAGGCCGAGAGGAGCTAAGCGCGTGCGCGGGCCGGGCCCCCCGCACCTGTACAGTGGAACCGTTGCCAAGCGACAGAATGCTGACCTGACACTTGCCTCCGTGTCACCGCCACCGAGCACCCCCGCGTGTCCCTGGGGCCCGAGGGGGAGGCGGCTCTCCAACCTAACCTGTGTCTGCGAAGTCCTATGGAAACCCGAGTCAAAATTGTGGAGCCTTTTAACTGTGCAATAATTTCTGTATTTATTGGGTTTTGTAATTTTTTTTTTTGGCATGTGCAGGTACTTTTTATTATTATTCTTTCTGTTTAAATTCCTTTGAAAGAGTTTGTTGGGTATCCATCCCTTCTTCTTCTTCTTCTTTTTTTTTTTTGAAAAACCCAGTAGAAGCCTGAGCAATGACTCGCAAGCAATGTAGAGGGGAAGCATAGCTTTTAAATTATAATTTGGGAGGGAGGGCGCTGCTTTTTTGAAATTTAAGCTAAGCATGTGTAATTTCTTGTGAAGAAGCCAACACTTAAATGACTTTTAAAGTTGTTTACTTTTTTTACTCCTTTTTTTTTTTGGTCCTGAAATAAAAAGTGGCATGCATTTTTTTTGGGGGGGGTGGGGGTGGGGTGGGGTGGATGTACAGCGGATAACAATCTTAAAGTTGTAGCACTTTGTTTCAGAGTTGGAGTGGAGCTGTAGCACTGATGATGTCCTGAGAAAACAGGGGCCTTTTCTGCGTTGATTTCAGCCTTTCCATGAATAACAGGGGTGAACTTGGAGTGGTGGGGGAGAGGCCCCCAAAACTCTGCACACTGCCAGAGACACAGGAGTTTTTGAGGGCTGCCCAGGGAATGGCCCCAGAGGATTCTAAAATTGTGCATTACCAGCAGACACTACCTCCTCCTTGAAATGGAGGTGTACCCTGGGATGCCGTCTTAGCCATTTGCCATAGAACAGGCTAACGTGGGCTGAGGGTACCATTTTGGGGGTTGATGGTGGTGGCCTGCAGTGACACAGCAAGGAAGAAATCAGCCAGGTTCTTCCGGGCTTCTTCTGGCTTGCCAGCTTCTCTCTCTCTCTTGTTATCACCCCCACCACGAAAATCCCAAGTTCTACGAGTTGCTGCCCATGATAGTGATGATCGGTCATTTCTCAAGCAGACAAGTGCCCTGATGGTGACTGGAGGGAAGTTAGCATTCTCATTTCATGCACACGTGACATTCTAAGGCCCGGGGTGGGGGAGGGTGGGACTGTGCGAATTTCTGTTCCCTTTCCTGGGAAAGCAGGGGCAGTTCCATCCCAAGGTGCCCAGCGCTGCTTCCCTTTTTATCATTCCCATGCGGTTGGAAGGTACTAAACCCACGAGATTAGATGTTTGAGTTCTGTTGACCCGCACTTTAAAGCTTTTTGTTTGCATTTAAATTAAATGGCTTCTAAACAAGAAATTGCAGCATATTCTTCTCTTTGGCCCAGAGGTGGGTTAAATAAGGGACGACTGAGATTGAGTGTCGGTGTTGCTAAGCGTGGCATTCACAATACTGGCACTATAAAGAATGACATAAAATAATAACTTATTGGACAGTTTCTCTACTGCCATTCGATCTGATGTGAGTGCCTTGAAAACTGATCTTCCTATTTCAGTCTCTTGAGACAAATGCAAAACTTTTTTTTTTTTTTTTGGAAACGAAAAGACTTTTTAAAAAAAACGTAAAACGAGAAAAGTACGTTCTTTAGACACAAACAAAGCCACACTTAACTTTCAATACGATTTTTAAAAAATCCCGGTGGAAGATAGAGGACATGAAAATGCCATCAGACCCGATCGAGTGAAGAAATAAACCCAGCACAACCTTGGACATACAATTGTTAGCTGAAGGTCCTCAGCCCCCTTTTGTTTGTGGGACAACGCTGCTTAGATGTGGAAAGTGATTTACTGCTGAATTAAAACTCAAGTGACACAAGTGACAAGTTGATATCGTTGAATGAAAAACAAAACAAAAAAAACAATTCAGGAACAATGGCTAATTTTTTTCCTAAAGGTAAATTTAGTGCACTCTGTCTTAAAAATACGTTTACAGTATTGGATACATACAAGGGTAACAAAAATTGTGTGTATGTGTGTTGGAGAGATCATTCCCCCCCCCCCAAAAAAAAGTTTTGCTTAATAGGTTATAAAAGATGCCACAGTGGCCGTGTGTATATTGTTTCTTTTGGTGATGGGGTTTTAGTATATATTATATATATTAAAATTTCTTGATTACTGTAAAAGTGGACCAGTATTTGTAATAATCGAGAATGCCTGGGCATTTTACAAAACGAGAAAAAAAAACACACCTTTTTTTCTTTTCCTTGAAAATGTTGCAGTAAAATTTAAATGGTGGGTCTATAAAATTTGTTCTTGTCACAGTAACTGTAAAGTCGGAGTTTTAGTAAATTTTTTTCTGCCTTGGGTGTTGAATTTTTATTTCAAAAAAATGTATAGAAACTTGTATTTGGGGATTAAAAGGGGATTGCTACACCATGTAGAAAAAGTATGTAGAAAAAAAGTGCTTAATATTGTTATTGCTTTGCAGAAAAAAAAAATCATTCCTGACCTGTACTTATTTTTCTCTTCCCACCTCCCTCTGGAATGGATATATTGGTCGGTTCATATGATGTAGGCACTTGCTGTATTTTTACTGGAGCTTGTAATTTTTTAACTGTAAGCTTGTCCTTTTAAAGGGATTTAATGTACCTTTTTGTTAGTGAATTTGGAAATAAAAAGAAAAAAAACAAAAACAGGCTGCCATAATATATTTTTTTAATTTGGCAGGATAAAATATTGCAAAAAAAAATTTGTATGTTCAGTCCTATTGTACAGGAGAAAAAGGGTTGTCTGACAACCTTGGAGGGAAAGAAGCAAAAGGAAGTCGCGAAATGCTTTGGTTCACAATCATTTGAGTTGTGTGTGTTTTTGACGCAATCGGCCCGTACAGAGAAGTGTTGGAGCCAGGCTTCCCTTGCACCCAGGCCCCCTGGCGCGGCCCCAGCAGACCCGATGGGAAATCCATTATTCCTGTTGCGTGGAGAAGTCAGCTTCTGTAAACATTTCCCAGCGTCCTCCCTTTCTCTAAGAGGCCATCTGTAAGGGGTCAGTGTAGAGAGAGCGAGTGAGCATCTTCCATCCCCATGGTCCCTGCCCTGGCAGTCACCACCACCACTTCTCCCGCCCGCCCGCCCGGCAGAGCAGAAAGAAATGCGAACTGTCCTTTCCTTAGTCCTTGACCAAACCTTAAACAGGAAGCGTCTGCAAAGGAGCTGGCCCAGCAGCGGCGCACAGGTGACCGACCTGCTGTTGAGACCAGCGAGCCCAGCGGGCTTTCAGGAGGGAGCCCCCTGGCAGCCAGGGCCTTTCACTCCACGGAGGGGCTTGGCCTGTCGCCCTTTCCTGCTCTGCTGCTTTTCTGTCCGAAAGCTGCATCCCGTCCGTGTCCGAATGCCTAGGGTCTGGGATGGGCTCGGTGCCTTTCCATCTCTCCCTCCCCATGTGTCTTCTCCATCCTCCACTGTTGGTCCTTTATTTGTTTTCATTTCCGTTTAATTTATTTTCTTTCTCCCTCTCTTCTCTTCTCTTCTCTTCTCTTCTCTTCTCTTCTCTTCTCTTCTCTTCTCTTCTCTTCTCTTCTCTTCTCTTCTCTTGTCTCTCTCTGTAAAGCCAAGTAGCTTTAAGATGATAAAGTGGTAGTTTTTTGGATGAGGGAATAATACATTAAAAAATACCTATATCAGGAAGCCATTTTTTTATTTCAGGAACTGTAAGAAACCATTATTTCAGGTTATGAAAGTATAACCAAGCATCCTTTGGGGCAACTCTTTACCAAATGCAGAGATGGGAGCTTCTCTGCTGAAATTCTCTCTCCTCCTTGCTACTTACCTTTGCAACGGGGAGGAGAGGGGAAGGGAGTGGGGGGGAAAGCTGAGGTGTCAGTTTCCTACCTGCTTGACCCTGAGCCCCTTGGGCTGCCCTGGGAGCCTCCCAGGTGACCCTCCTGTAGTGAGAAACGTAGCCAGCTCTTCCCAGCTCACACCCAGTCACCAGAAGCCAGGACTAAGCCATCCTAAAGCACAAAGATTGTGTCTCTGTCCACCGACGGCAGAAAAAAAGAGCATTTTGCTTCTTTCACGTTTCGAAAGCCAACACTGCAGCAGATGACCAGGTGGGAGAGGCCCGGCCTGGGCGACCCAGCCGACCAGCCGCAGGCTGGTTTCCACACTGCCAGGACTTGGTTCCAAGTTGCCCCAAATAGGAACCCGCCACTTGCCATTAGAGGGTCTGTCGTGGGAGAGGGGGAGGCTGAACCGGAGGAGAGTGCGAGGAGGAAAGGAAGTCGGCCTTTCTTCCCAGCTCAGGGCGGCCAGGCGACGTTGTGTGGGGCCCAGGCGACCTCGTGATTTTGGTGCTCTTTGTACCCCCTTCCCCCTCCCCTGCAAAGCCAAGTTCCATTGATTTCAGTTTGCATTTGTATTGGAGAGGCGAACTATACAATTTTTATTACCTTTTCTATCACCTATTGTATGAGCTTTTGTTGTTTACTTGGAGGTTCTGTCTTTTGCTACAAGTTTGAACTATTTATTGCTTGGTATTGGTGCCCTGTTTAAGAAACGGGCACTTTTTTTTTTTAATTATGGAGAAAATGTTGAGATGACAGGAGGTCATTTCAATATGGCTTAGTAAACTATTTATTGTTCCTTTTATTCTCTGTACAAGATTTTGGGCCTCTTTTCCCCCCTCAATGTCACGATGTTGAGTTCAGCATGTGTCTGCCATTTCATTTGTACGCTTGTTCAAAAACCAAGTTTGTTCTGGTTTCAAGTTATAAAAATAAATTGGACATTTAACTTGATCTCCAAACCTTGTCCTTTGCTGTGTCTTTTAAAGGTGGGGGATGGACAGCTGATTCCCAAGGGCGAACGGAAGGTCTTTCTCCACTTTCCTCCCAACCCAAGCCCCGAACCCTCTATCCGGGAAGACAGGGAATGACGGCTCCAGAGATGATGGTCCTCTTCCTTTTCCCGGGAACCGCTGGGTGGACAGTGGTCCTGGGTCCCGGCTGCTCGCTGGGACCTTCTGGGAACTTTTAGACATCCTAGCGCCAGGCCTCAGCCCAGCCCGATTTCCACTGGAACCTGTGCCACGCCGGCACCGCCAAGGGTGACCCTGAGTGGGGGCGATGAAAGGCTTAGAAAAGATGGACAAGAGAATGAAAGCTGGGTCTCGGTGGGACGCTGCCCCTCTGATGGACAGCGCCACACCCACAAGCCGTGTCTTTATTTTACAGCAGAGGCCACGAGGCAAAGTAAGGGCGTGATTAAGATGTTTACAGCATTCTCGTGGGTTTCAATCCTACTCAACTACATGTGCCTGAACTCTATCACTCAGGCACGTGGGGCCATGTGTTCGGACCATAGGTTCAAGCTCACAGCCATAGCTGTTGGCTATAATTGTGCTGGGAAGGCTCTGCCCTCCAGCTGGGACTTGCACGTGGCAATAAGAGGACTGTGCCCTCTCCTCAGTCCAGGCTTGAACCTGCCCAAACACTGTAGCCGCGCCCCACAGGAACCTCTGGAGGTGGGATCCTAGTTGGGCTTAGGGTTAGGGCATCAGTATTTTTGGAAGTGACCCAGGTGATTCTCATACACAGCCAGGCTTGCAAAGAGGGGGTTTAAAAGAAACCACTGAGAAAGACAAGTCTCCGGTCCAGTTTAATTCAGCCAGCATTGCCGGGACACCCAGTGAGCGCCATCGGGCAAGGCAAGAGGGGTCAGGCATGAAGGACACAGAGGCCCTGAAGGGTCCTGTGCCCTCACTCAGGTCCACTTGGGTTTCCCGTCGGTGAAATAAGGACGCTGGGCTCGCATCCCTATCATCGTGAGTTTTAACAAGTCACACAGGAGGACTGCCTGCCCTCCCGGGTTCTAGGTGTTGACAGATTTGAGGACACTCTCCTTCGGGCTAATCTCACTGATCCAGAGGGTCTTTCAGAAGGAAATAGCCTTTAGCTTGGTTCTCCCCGGTCCGGTCCTGGGAGCTGACAGGGTGGAGATGGGAGAAGGCACTGTTCTGCTGGGTTTCGGCCGCTTGGGCCTCCTGTGCATGAGAGAACACTCCCTCCCACCCCCCTACCCCCGAGTGCAAAGGGATCAAAGATCCACTGGGTTCTTGGCCACTCTTCTTGTGTTTCCTGCTCTTAAAGGCACAGAAAACATTCCACGCAAGTCACTTTCTGCAAATTCACAGGCACCAACCGTGGGCCACGTATCAAGCTAGGCAGCCCAAGAAGCTTGGCAAGGAGACTTTGCAAGAAACATGCAAATACCAAGCCATGCTTGCTAAGACATTTTGAGACACCAGGGCAGCGTGTCCCTCTGTGTCCTGTCTTCACCCCAAACAAGGCCCCGTTTGTCCAAGGCCGTGTCCAGCCACTGGAGGAACAGAAGTGGGATTTGAACTCCAGCGCCAGAAATGGACTTGGTGCCTTTCAGGGGAAGGCCTGCCCTGCTTCCGGGGGGCAGAGAGGAGTTCTCTTCTTTTCCATGGGTCCTGGGCTCCAAGTCTTTGCCTAGCTGGCTGTCACATGCAGGTCTCTGAGCCTTTGGGCTTTTTCTCGCCCAGAAAATCGTGCAAATAGCAGAATTGAAATGCCCTGTTGCTTTCTGATTGGAAAACACGGGGATGTGCTCATTTTGGGAAGACTCTCCATCTTGGGGTTGGGGAGCAAACACCTAGATGGAGTACCCAAAATTGCTTGGGTATGAGTGTGCTAACACTAGTGAATGCCCGTCATTCACCCTTACAGCCCGCCCCTTCCCGCTGCCCTTCTAAGAAGGCCAAGGTCGGAGATTACCAGTGGGGCAACGGAGGGGCTCGATTCAGTTCTCACCAGGATCCCATCAGTGACTCTGTGACCTCAGGTCAGTCCTTTCCCGTGTCGGGGCCTCAGTTTCCCCATCTGTATGATGGAGACTGAAGGGGATCGGAAAGGACTCAATCTGCCTTCACATAGTTGGACCCTGGGGAGAGGGCCCCGCGAGAAAACAGTAACAGAATTTGATAGGGATGTTGGTGTCAGAAATGTTCCCTCTTCGGATTACAAAAAATGGGGGTGAGCATGGGTTCTCCAACAGAAAACCCCCTGTTCTTGCTGGTTGTCACGTAGAAGTCTTCAGCCACCTTGCAAGTCACGGGGTGTCCACCTTCTCCCAACAGTCCCAGCCTGGGCTGGGCCATCAGAGCAGGCGGCTGAGCCGCTCACTCCCGAGTGCTAAGTTCAGCAATTAGAGCTGGAAAACATTCCCCCTTCTGCCCAGGAGAGGAAACGAGACGAACAGAACTTTTTTTAAAATGTTAATGTGATGAAATGTATAATGAAACTCATGTAACTTTCAAACCAGGGAGGATGGAAAGTCTGCCTTCCTGGTGTGCAGGCGAAGCCTTCGTTAATTGCCTGCACTGTACAACCTTCAAAAACAATTTTATAGGATTCTAGCTACAGACCATTCAGGGTGCTCTAACGCTGTCAAAACAGGTGGAGCTCAGAGTCTATGGCATTCCCAGAGTGAAGGCTGAGCCGGCTGCCAGGGCCGGGCACACAGGGAAGCCTTGGGCCTGGGCTTTGCTCCAAGCAGGGCCTCGCTCAATCAGAGAAATGCGTGATGGGAAAAAGGCGGCGGGATGGGCTAATGTGGGCAGTGAGAGGATCCTGGGAGATGGAGCAGCTCATCAGCTGGGCGGAGGGTTGGTTAGGGAAATTTTGCTGCTCCTTGGCAGATGAGCAAAGATTCACTGGGAAGATGAGGCAGGCGAGGAAGCAATGGCATGTCTTGCAGAAGATCTGATATGAGAAAATGCATGGATGTTGGAGAAACACAGTGGAGAAGCAGAAGCCTAGAGTTGGCTGGGACTCTAGTACCACCCCCACCTAAAATAGGATCCTCTCCAAAATCCTAACATAGCATATCCATCCATCCATCCATCCATCCATCCATTCATCCATCCATTTATCCATCCATTCATTTATCCATCCATCCATTATCCATCCATCCATCCATCCATCCATCCATCATTTATCCATCCATTTATCCATCCATCCATCCATCCATCCACCCATCCATCCATCATTTATCCATCCATCCATCCATCCATCCATCCATCCATTCATCCATCCATCCATCCATCCATCCATCCATCCATCCATGTATCTTCCTAGGGGAACACTGCAGAATGAATGAGGGTGGTGGGGTAGGTAGGAAGGGAGTCGGGGTTCTCTCTGGCTGCAGAATGAATGAGGGTGGTGGGGTAGGTAGGAAGGGAGTCAGGGTTCTCTCTGGCATGGGAAGCTAGAGATGCCTACTAGTTAAATGCTGATAATACCTTTCTCTCCAGGTTGTCAAGAGAATTCAGGGATAAATCCCTGCCATGCAACGGCACAGAGTAGCTACTAACAGCCTGCACCCTGGGTGCCAGCTGCCTGAGTTTACAGCTTAGCTCTGCTGCTTATGAGCTATGGGATCTCAGCCCAACCACTTAACCTGGTTGTGCCTCAGTTTCCTCATCTGTAAAAATGGCGACAATAATAGTGACTGCCTGATGTATATTGAATGTTTGTGTCTCCCCAAATTTATATGTTGAAGCTCCCCTCTCACCCCGTACCCACCCAGTGTGATGGGATTTGGAGTTGAGGCTGTTAGCAGTAATTAGGGTTACATGAGGTCATGAGGGTGGAGCTCTCATGATGAGGTTAGTGTCTTTGTAAGAAGAGACTCCAGAGAGCTTGCTCTCTCCCACCCACGCCCTTGAGTGCACAAAGACAAGGTCATATGAGTGCACAGTGAGGTGGTGGCCGCCTACAAGCCAAGTGAAGAGAACTTAGAATAAAACCTACCGTACCAGCACCTTGACCTTGGATTTCAGGCTCTATAATTGTGGGAAAATAAATTTCTGTTGTTCAAGGCCCGCAATCTATAGTATTTTGTTATGGCAGCCAAACAAAGGGCTGGCTACCAAAAGAATCTTTGTCAACCTGGTCATTCTCTCAACCATGGCTGATGAATCAAACAGAAAACTTGTTAAAGACGTTTTCCCTGTGTTGTCTGACACACATGGTGTTGTGTGTGTCCTCTGAGCCCAGCAGATCTATAGTCTTGCTCAGCTCATTCCATCATTCCAAGTTCTCTCCTGTTTCAAGGACTCTCATGGATCTGGCTCCTTGGTGGTTTGTGATTTCAGATTGTGAGCTCATCCTTGTGGGTTTCCCCATCTGGATGAGTCTGATTAGTGATGGTGATAAAAATGTCCTTCAGAGAATTTTTTGGCTACTTCTGTGGGAGCCTAGGGCCTTCAGTTGTCCTAGAAAGGGCGTGTAGACCTGGATCCCACACATGTGTGGTCCCAGGCAGGCCATGCTTCTTCATTGCTGCCCAGCAGGTATAGTGTTCCTTGTCCTGTTTTTGTTGATGGTTGCAGCTCTTGAAAATCCCAGTTTTATGCAAGGGGTCCATTCCAGCTGCCCAGCCTCACATGGACTAATGCCAGAACTCTGGTTCCTAGTTTCATTTGTGGGTCTGAAACCCATGAGCTGTGGAGTCAGCTCTCACCTCTCTGGCTTCCATTTCTCCTTCTTTCAGGGATTCCCTTTCTTTTGAGTTTAGACACACTCATACATGCATAACATATATAACTATATACCATATAAGTATATACTATATAACTATATACTATATAACCATATAACTATATCAACTAGTTACACATATAACTATAGTTGCATAGTTATATAGCTCTCTATATACTACACAACTAAACTATATTGTTATGTACACACATATGTTTTATATATATAGTTAT